ACCACCATGCCCTGTATTTTTAGTAGAGACAGGGTTTCACCATGTTGGCCAGGCTGGTCTTGAACTCCTGACCTCAAGTGATCCACCCGCCTCGGCCTCCCAAAGTGCTGGGATTACAGGCGTGAGCCACCACGCCCAGCCTGATTCTTAATAAATGAATGCTGTTCTATCTAGCAAAGGCATTCTTCCGCAGCTGACTTATACTTGTCAAGAATTTTGCTAACGGCACGAGAATAACTGACCATTTGGTTTATCAGGTCCTTGGCTCAGAAAATCAAGAAAACAGAACCAGAGCTTTATCAAGGATAGTGACAACAATGGTGACAGATGAAGTCACAGCAGTGCAGCTACCCTGAAGTCACTGTTTGTTCCCTGTCAGGCTAAATCCTCCCAGAGCGCTCTTTGCAGCTTCATCACACTGTCTTTCTGAGGTGGATGTTATTATTCCCACCTTACACAAAAAGAAACGGTGTCTCAGGAATATAGGGAGCTCGCCCAAGGCCAAACATCTCACAAGAAACTGACGCCGGAGCCCTCGCTACACACTGCGGTCCTACCAATCCACTCTGCCCACAAGCAACCCATCTGGGCCTGCTGTGAGCTGCTAAATTTTTCCAAATTGAGTTATTCGATATTCTCAGCTGATCCCCAATAAATAAAACTGGAGGTGGCTATGGACAGTCTATACTTAAGGTACAGACTATTCAACTATAATTTACTTAAGCATTTTAGAAAAATGTGAGACGTAATCCTGCTACACTCTCCAAGAACCCTGAAGGAAGAATCTTGCAAGCATGTTTTAAGAGAAATCCCCAGAATGCCAGGTCAGGCAGATCCTTACCTAGGCCCTTAGCTCCCTGCCCTTCCCAGGAGATCACCCCTCCAATGCCCCAGGCCTCACCTATGCACTAACTACACTGTATGCAGTGTAAAAACAATACCAGGCCATTTGCAATAAGTACTTTACATGAGCTATAGAAGACACTGTCAGAATAAAGGAGGGACACAGGGAAAAGCTTTGTGAAAAAACAGGGGTCACTAATGTGTGTCTTATCTCAGGAGGAATAAAAGGGAGCCCTCCTTTTTTGTTGTTGTTGTTGTATGAAGGGTAAGTCACAGAAGAAAATCCACCAAGATATGAATGATAGCCAAAGGGGTATGTGGGGTATGTTTCCTTCTCGTTCTTTCTACTTTTCCTTATTTGAGCTCCCATTCATCAGTGAGAGAAGCCACGTAGACCCTTTATAAAGAATTAAAATTCTTCATCTGAAATACAAGGGAGCCATTGTGCAATCAACATGAAATATATCAGGCTTCCATTAACTTGCTCTGTGAGTTCCCCTCCAAAGGTACCCCCTTCTGTCCCTGAGGTACAGAGGCTTTCAAACCAGTGTGAAATAGTAAGTGAAAATAACACAAAAGATACTGCAAGAACCATGCAATTAACAAAGGCAGAATAAGTCACTGAACCTTTCTGACAGATTTTTTCTTTGTACGGATGTAAAATTAATATTCCTTTGTTGCCTTATTCCTTTTGGATAAGAAAAGCTTGAGTCGATCGCCTTTTGGCCTTTAACAAACAAATACAGTATTGCTAATAATGCCTGTGTGCCCCCCACACACAGAAATCATATAAACCCTCCACGAGCTTCCTCCGGGCTGTGAATCCATTCACCACGCAGCAAGCTGGAAATCCACAGCTGCTGATATTACTGCTAAATACCTGCCAATGTGCCCCCACAAAATGTGAGCCTTAAATAAATGCCACTGCCATTTCCAAAGCAAAGCAGGGTTTTATGTTTTGTTTCTGTTTTGTTTTGCAGTGGGAGCCAGAGTGTTACTGCAATTTTCCATAAATGCAGAAAACATCGAAACATCCCAGCTTCAAGTGGTGTTTACCGTAAGCTGTCAAAACCCTGGTTCTCTTTTGCAGCCAGAAGAGCAGAACTTGACCACATCAGGCAAATCTTTCATTTCACTGGGGAGTGAAAAGGAAAAATCCGATGCAATTTAAGAGACAAAAGTTGATAAAAATAATTTCCAGAAACCATTAAAACTACAATGTTCATTGTTACTAAGCTAAGCTCTGAAACTCTGAGTTTTTATATTACATATCCCTACCTACAGCCATTGGTATAAACAGCTTTCATCTTACGTAAACCATACTGAGCTTACTGTTCCTCAAATAACTATTTCCAAACTCCAGTATAACTAGAAATAAATTCAGGACTCAGAAAGAGCCTCAGAAGAGAGAATGTGAAATCACAAATAGTTCCTGTTATCACAAAAATAAAAGTAGGCTGCACAATCACTGCCTCTTGAAATTTTTATTAGGCTCTGAGGGCACTTACGGGTTCTCATCTGACCTTCTTATTTTTCAACAGCCACAGAAAATAGGACAGAGAGAGAACAGGTGCCCTCCAATCCATTCTCCTCCAAGCAGGCACAATGATCTCCCCAAAGTAACATCTAATATTGTCATCTGCTGTTTAATACTTTCATTGCTTCCACAGCTCTAAGAGTAAAATCCAAACTCCTTCAAGATGCAGCCCCAGCCTTTCTCTCCAATCCCCTTTCTCCATCTGGGGGTCTCACTAACTCACTCAGCCCTCACAGGCCTTCTCTGCTCCATAAACCTGCTGAGTTCTAGGAGGTCACCCTGCAGACAAGGAAGAGAAAGGTATGACCAGTGGAGGAAACTACAGGTGCAAATGCTGGCACCAGAGGCTGGCAGGCAGGAGGCGGAGAGAGGTGGTGCAGGCGTCAGGCCTTGGTGCAAGATGGGCCCGGGTTAGATCAGTTACTGACTGTGTGTGTGTTCTCGTGCGAGCCTGTGGCTGTGCATCTGTGAAATGGGCATTAAAAGCCACACCCATTTCACCAGGCCACTGTGAGGATGGCAGGAGATGCCGCACTTAGCAGGCTTGGCAGCAAATCTGGGGCAGGATAAGTTCCCAGTAGATGAGAGCTGGTTTTATGTCATGGATGATCACGACAGGAGACATGGAAGAAGTGGCAGACAAGCAGTTCTCCAGGGGCCAGGTGGAGAAAGGCCATGACGTGCCACACCGAGGAGCTAGAAATGCTGTGGGGAGCACTCAGTGTGCCCTGAAGCAAGAGCACCACAGAGCTGCTAACCATCTTCCAGGCATGGTGCTGGGATCTTAGGGAGGAGGAAGGAGAGCCACACAGTTCACATCCTTTGACATTTGGTAAATTATGATAGAGTGACTCGGAAAGAAGACAGTGTATCAGGGAAGGCCCACCCCTCCAAGAGTTAACATTCAGGAATCACTTTTCTAATGAGCTTTGGCACATGCCAGGCAGCCTCCCAAGCCATATCCAATGCCTATATCCCCACCAGGCACTTGTGTCCTAACATCACCAGTTTGAGAGTCTGATGTGCTTCCTTCTACCCTTAGTTGTATTTCATGAAAATTAATCAATCTGCAGGTAGCTAAGGAGGAGATGCCATTTGACAACACTATGACAGTGACAAGTCAAAAGCAAATGCCAGGTGGAGATACACTGACCAGGGCTGACACAGCCCCAAACCCAGCCCAGCACGGGACAGAGGACCAGGAATGAAGCCTTCATTCTCCAAGAGGCCCAAGGACACCATCTGGCCAGTAGAAGTTGTGGTTCTGAACTTGTGCTTGGAAGGTGCACAACTTATCAGTTAATGAGATGCAAAGACTTTGCGTCACCATCTGGGTTTCATCTTTTGGGCTGGAGAGAAGGTAGAAGATTCAAGAAGTTTAGGTAACTTGCCTATTTGGCAACGTATATCAAATTTTTTAAATCACTCACCTTTGATTTGACAAATCATGGCTGGGCAGAAATCTTGCCTCTCTACTTGCAAGTGAGCTCAAAATACAAGCTTAGCTCCAAATGGCTAGGATCCACCTAAATGCCCATCAAAGGGGACTGGTTAAGTATCTCAGGATTCCACTACTCCCCTGCCCGCTGTTCCCTTGGCAGACAGCACTAATCAATCACTGCGCCCGTTCCTCAAGAAGATACCTAGGCAGTCATAACTGATCAATCAGTGTGTTGACCAGCAAGATGATACCTATTTGGTAACCCTGGTCTAAAAGATGGGGGAAAGCATCACCAAGAAGGTGACATTTGAGTTGGGCTTTGGAAAATGATGCCTTCGGGGCTTTAGGAGATGGAGCAATTCCTTCCAGCTGGAGTATCAGGAAACATGATCTCCGGTAACAATGTTGCTGTGAGAAAACTTTTAAGTCTGTGAAAATACCGGGAATTATCATAATTACCTGCCAAATCATGAAAGGATTATAAGTTTTTCAAAAACGCCTCTGGCATTTCGTTTCATATCAGAACGTTCCCTCCATCTAATCACATTCAAGTAAATCATGCTTCACCCTCCTCCGGCTAACAAATTAGATGCTTCTTGATTAATTCGATCAAGACACTCCCCAAATTTCAATAGCAACTGAGGCTCTTTGGGTCACATACTCAAAACTCTCCAAGATTATTCACTTCGATGCCTTAGAATCTGTAAGTTTTATAAAACAACCCGTTTTCTGGCCCTGTTTACTCTGGTTGTGGGGAGAGGCCTGAAGCCT